TTCCGGTCTGAGCCCATGGCTGCAGCCACCGTGTCCATGCGTCTCCAGGAGGGTCCTCCTCTTTTTTGGTTGACTTGATGCTGCACCATGCAGGATGCCCTTTTCTGGGTACGGGACCGGTCTCTCTTGATTACATGTCCCAAGTCCGTGAGACAAAGTCTTGTCCTCCCCATTTCGAAGGCGCATCCTGGCGGCGTTTCTCCCAAGACAGATTCTGCTTGTTCTTCTGGCAGCCCACGGTGCTTCCAACATCCCCTGCCAGCTCCATCATGCAAATGCATCCACTTCTTTGCACGATGGCGCTGGGGGAAGAGTATTGACACTCCGTGGACTGTGAGAAGAGCAAGCAAGTCTGTCTGGGAAGATGCACAGCCAGAGTGCTCAGCAGAAGGGAGGATGGGAGACGTTGCTTCAGGCAGCCTGGATACGCCATCCGGAGGGACCAGTCCCCGGAGAAAGAGACATCGCTTGGTAAAGTAGGGGGTCGGTGAAAACCAGGAAGCACCTCCATGAGACGGTAACACAGTGACCGTCGCCTTGTAGGCTCCAGCAGCAACAATGGTGAGGAGGGTACAGAACCAGACGGTGCTTCCTTCTGTCCTGCTATGAGTCCGAGCCAGCTGGAGGGTACCTAACAGAAACACGAATTGCCTGCCCGAGAGCGGTTTGAAGCACACTTATAGTGGGACAGAGGCAGCATCTGGCCTCTGGACTGCACAAGAGAGGAGGATCAAACTCAACCTCAGCCCAGGGCTCATTCTTGACTCAGAGGCCAGACAGGCCACTGTCCTTCGACTTTCTTCATCAATTCTATTACCAACTGCCCCTGCCAAGGTATTCTCTGCTTCTCTGCGCATTCGATATCCATTTGCCGGGTCACACAAGGGTTTATTAGGGAGCTGGAGTCCACTGACGGGCAATGGGTTAAAGAGACAGGGCAACTGGATCCTGGGACCCAATGTTCTTTTCTTTTGCTGTTGTGAAGGACACTGGTGGGCACGTAGAGAAGGACATTAGCGGGCACATAGCCCTGGTGCTATAGTGGTTACATGTGAGGTTGCAATCCTCGCGGTCGGCAGTTTGAAACTACTAGCCACTCCTCAGAAGAAAGACTGGGCTTTCTACTCCCCTAAACTGTTACAGTCTCCGAAACACCCACAGGGGGATGGGGGGTGGGGGTGGGGGTCTTGAGTTTGGTTTGGTTCTAAAAACTAAACTCTTGGCCATTGGTCAATGCTGGCTCCTAGCCACCCTCTGTGGGTCCACCAAACTGTAACTCTTTCCGGGAGTAGAAAGCCCAGCCTTTCTCACGAGGAGCTGCTGGTGGTTTTGAACTGCTGACTTTGCTGATCACAGCCCAACGCACAACCATGACATCACCAGGGCTCTAGGAGGGGGCTCCGTAGAACCCCCTATGAGGACCCCTTCCTTAAAGAAAGCCAGCTGGAGTCAGGGGAGCCAGACAAGCAAAGAAAATCTGCCCCCCCCCCATCCTTACAACAATCCTCCCCAACACACACACACACACACACACACACACACACACAGAGGATTTGGGGGGAGGATTAGGAGGGAAGGGACCTAAGAACTCTAGCAGTTGGGAGCTGAGGCGGTGGGGGCGCAGGAAGACCCCTGGGGCTGGACTCCCCAGTAGAATGGAGATTCCAGTCCCAGCTCCCTCCCGGTGGTGTTAGAATTAAAAGGGGATAATTAATGAAAGTGCTTTGGCGCTGTGCCGACCTCTGGAAGTGCTCATAAAAGTCCCTCTGGCAGCAGGTCCTGGATTCTGAGTCAGAGCGGACTCCAGGGCAGTGAGTTTTTGAGGGCCATCCATAGCGGTGATAGCGTATTGCTGCAGAACCCTGAGAAACAAAGGGGACACAGTGGGCAGGCGGTGGGGGGTTGGGGGGGTCCTGCCAGGGCTGTTCAGAGGTAGGCCTCAGACTCTAGGAGCTAAGCTTCTGGAGGGATCCAGACCCCTTGTGTGCCTATAGACCCTCGGGTCCTGCTGACCAGGCTGCTGGCCAGACTCCCCATGTAATGCAGTCAGGATAGGCTTCTGTGAGCCCTGCCCAGCTGGCTGAAGATAGTGGGGCCCAGGATCTGGTGGTCCCGCAGGGTAGGGGGGTGGAGCGGGGCTGGGGCAGCATCACTGACTGCCCCAGTCACACCTCTGTGCCAATTGGTGGCAGGTGCCCCTACCTCGGGACACAGGAGGGCCTTTCTCAATGGGAATGGCACCCCCTAGAATTTTGCTAATGTGACTGGCCTCTGCCCTTCCGGTCAGCCTCAGGTAAGCACTGGGCTGCTAGCCACAAGATCCAAGGGTCGAACGCATCAGCCATTCTACAGGAACATGAGGCTGTCTGCTCCTGAAGAGACTGGTATTGTGAGTCTGAATGGGCGCTGTGACATTGGTGGCTAGGTCCCACACTCAGGGAGTGATGGAGTAAGCTTCAGACCCAGGACCTCTGGGTCAGTGATTTCTGGCCAGCTGAGACGGACTTTCCCTGGACGGATTTGCCCGGTTCTCACCTCTGGTGACCCGTGTCCCCAGAAAAAGTGGCAGTGCTATGATTAGGTTTGCAGGGAAGAACAAAACAAGGAGTTGAAACTACTCAGAATGTTCTGGCATTCTGAACCTGGGGAGGGGAGGGCTGATTCTAAACCTCGTCGCTGGGATGAGAGGCATCTGAGTCAGGGCGCTGACAGCAGAGATGAAGGAAGCCTCTTCACCGTGGGGGAGGCCGAGCAGATGGGAAGGTTCAAAGCAGGATGAGGTACTGTTCAGGTGAAGACTCCAGGCGGTGTGCCCTGTGCTTCCAGCTCCATCTGGGAGCTGAGAGAGGCCTGGGCCACTTTAGGGCATGGGAACAGAGCAGGAGAAAAGCACAGCTTGCTCTGCTCTGAGGCCTGAACCATTCGTGGTGGCTTTTTCTCTCTGCCCTTCCTTCCCACGCCAGCAGGAAGGAGCTGAGTGGGTTGGTTCATCTCCAACTGATGGGAAAAGGGGCTTTGGTTTCTGGTCCAAGCCATGAATGAATGGATGGATGGTTAAATAAGATGGTATGAATGAATGGATGGGATGAAGTGTTAAGTCCGGGTTGACTAGAGGACCAAATTCAGAGACACTCATATGTGCATAAGAAAGAGCTTCATAGGAAATATTAATTGCATATTAAGAAAACATCCCAGTCCAGTCCTGATCAAGTCCATAAGTCGGATATTAGCCCATATGTCCGATATCAATCTATAAATTCCTCTTCAGACTCACGAAACACATGCAATGACACCAAATGCAGGACGATCACAGGCCAGTGGGTGGAAAGTCTTGGGGATCCAGAGGCGGTGGGAGCATCTCAGCGCTGGGTCTCCACATGGCTTCTCCCGCTCCAAAGCTCCGGCTGCTATCAGCATAGCTCCATCTGGCTTGTCAACAGGAACGTCTCCCAGAGCCTGTATATGGCCTCCAGCGAGCTGTTTATCTCCATAGAGCATCCAAATGAGGTCATCAAGCTGCGGCCTGATTGACAGGCTAAACTCCACCCCTTCACTGTTAATAGTCTCAAATTGGCCCCAGATTATGTAACTACCACAGATGGGATAGAGAACGGCCTTCACCGGAGCCATTGCTCTCTGGGCTTCTGCTCAGTCCATGTGGCAAGTGTTCTCCTCACAACCACATGTCGTGACTCCCACTTTCTGGATGGGGAAGCCGAGGTTCCCAGAGGTTAAAAGACTAGCCCAGTCTGTCAAGTTGGGGCTGGCATCCTGTCTGGGTGCTTACACCTCATCATCACCACTGCCCTGCCTCACTTCTATGTGGAATGGTGGTGAACATGCGGGGCTGCTAACTGCAAGGACAGCAGTTTGAAACCATCAGCCCCTCCTCGGAAGAAAGATGAGGCTTTCAGTCACAGTTTCGGAAATCCACCGGTGTAGCTCTATCCTGTGCCACAGGGTCGCTGTCATAAGCTGTTGTTGACTACCAACAAGTCGTTTGTGATTCATGGGGACCCTTGTGGGCAGTGGAACTGCTCCGCAGGGTTCCCAAGGGTGTGACCTTCTGGAAGCAGACTGCCAGGCCTTTCTTCCGAGGTGCTCCCAGCCTGTCAGGTCTTCGCATTGCGCTTACCTGTTTGGAGAAGCAGATTTTAAAAGTGCCTGCCTGGCCTCTTCCCGGCAGGGGACAGAGCAGCCAGCAAGCACAGTTAATAATGGTTGCTAATCTTTCAAGGCCATTTCGTATCCCATCCCATTTCATTCATTCATTCATTCATTCAGTATACTAGATGAGTTATTGTTGGGTAGGTGCCATCAAATCGGTTCCAACACGAAGCGACCCTACGCGTAACAGAATGCAACACTGCAGGGGGCCCGTGTCATCCTCACAATCGTTCCTATGTCTGTGCCCAAGGTGTTTTAGAGACACAATTTAATCTTCGCAACAAGGCCCTGGAGCATATTGTAATGTCCATTTGGGCCAAGAGAACACTGAGCCTCCGAGAGGAAGTTGCCTAACCTCAACCAGCCGGGGACTTCCAGCAGCCGGCGCCTAGTTCTAAGGCCATGGACTCCCCGCCCAGGGGAAGGGTTTTAAGGGGGAAAATAGGAACTCAGGTAATGGCTGGGAACTGCCCCGACACCGCACAGAGGTCTAGGTCTAGGGAGCCCATGGATCTAATTGTGTAGGTCAACGTGTGTGTTGTGCCCCTTCCCCGTTAACTATGGGAAATTCCCTAACCCCGATGGACAAAGGAAAAGCAACCACGCGGAGAACGGACGGGAGGGCGGAGGAATAGGGGTATCTGAGTGGTCCAGGGGCCGAGAAGGCGCTTGGCCGGCCGGGTATCCCAAAGGCACCCAGGCGGGCACAGGCGTGCGCAGTGCAAGGCTGGAGCCCGGGCCCCCGGCGCGGGGGCGGGGCGGACTACAATTCCCGGCATGCCCCGCGCGCCCCCTCCAGCCTCCTGCCGCCGGCCGCCGGGGCTGCAGACGAGGGCGATGAGGATGGAGGCCGGGGAGGCAGCGCCGCCGGCGGGGGCGGGCGGCCGTGCGGCGGGCGGCTGGGGCAAATGGGTGCGGCTGAACGTGGGGGGCACGGTGTTCCTGACCACGCGGCAGACGCTGTGCCGGGAGCAGAAGTCCTTCCTCAGCCGCTTGTGCCAGGGCGAGGAGCTGCAGTCGGACCGGGTGAGGCCGTGGGCCGGGGGCGGCCCGGCGGGGTCCGCGGCTCCCCCGAAGCGCGCCGGGCCAGGCTGCACCGGGCGGGCGACACGGCCGCCTGGCTTTGCGAAGGGCGGGAGGCGGGAAGCCCTGGGAGGAGGGGGCGGAACTGGGTCGCGGAGGCTTGTGCCCATTGCCGTGGCAACGGGACCACGCCAGGCCCGAGGCCGCCTGAAACCGCCGAGGCTGACCCAGGGCACCCCTTCTCCGGGAACGGGGTTGGGGTGAGGAGGCTGCCGGGCGACCCTGGGACCCTAGCCCTCCTTCGAGGCGATGGGAACGGACGCCCCCTACTCCCCACCCCCCACTGCAGGAAAGGAGTTGATGAGGCCAGCGCTCAGCTCCTTTGGGGTGCCCTGGGCGTGCTGGCCCCTGCCACACTGTTTCTGGGCTTCCGTCCCAGCTCTGCTGCAAACTGCTGTTTGACCTTGGGTGGGGTCCCTCCCGGGTTGGGTCCGTCCCTTCTGCACTCTGGCCTCAGTCTCCTGGCCTGCCCCACGGGGGGCGCTGCCTGGAAATGAGCACCAGGGTCATTGCATCCCTGGACCCTGAAGCACTGCAGCCTTGTGGAAACCCCTCATCTCACCTGCTGCAGCCTCACTTGTCTGCGGAGCTGTGCCCTGGGTGCTCGTCCTGTCCCCTGGCAGGCTGAGTGCACCTTGGGGAGCCTGTCCACACTCCCTGATGACTGAGGAGCTGGCGTGGGGGGTGGGATGGTGTCTGCTCACAGGAATGTTCCCCAGGGCCTCCATGGAGCTGGGACCACCCACTGAGTGCTCCCGGTGACCCTTGGTGACTGGCGAGTGAGGCCATGTGATGGGCCCAAGGTCACAGGGTTGGGCAGATGCAGAAGCAGAATTTGAACACTGGTCCATTTGACCCTAAGGCAGTGGTTCTCCCCCTTCCTACAGGTCCTTTAATTCAGTTCCTCATGTTGTGGTGATCCCCCAACCATAACATTATTTTCGTTGCTACTTCATCACTGTCATTTTGCTACTGTTATGAATCAGGCAACCCCTGTGAAAGGGTCCTTTGACCCCCAGAGGGGTCGGGACCCATAGGTTGAGAACTGCCCTAAGACCTTGTTAACACATCCCTTCTCACCTCCCTCCTGCCATTGGGTGGCACCTGAAGCTAAGGAGGCAGGCTGGGAGGCCCCCTCTTCTCTTACTGCCTGCCCCCCTCATTTGTAGGATGAAACGGGGGCCTACCTCATTGACCGGGATCCCACCTACTTTGGGCCCATCCTGAACTTCCTTCGGCATGGCAAGCTGGTGCTGGACAAAGATATGGCTGAGGAGGGTGAGTTGGGTCGGGGGCTGCCCTGGGGCCCACGTTCGAGCCCTGCTCCTGCCCGGCTTGGCTCAGGGGGCCCAGAGCTTGGAGGTTGTCTGCCTTCTTCCCCGTCCTCATCCCTCCACCCATTGCCAGCGAGTCGATGCTGACTCACAGCGACCCTCTAATGGGGGTTTCTGGAGGGAGAAAGACAAGGCTTTCTATCCCCGGGAAGAGTTACAGTCTCAGAAACCCACAGGGGCAGTTCTACCCTGTCCTGTGGGGTCCTGTGGGTCAGAATTGACTCGATGGTGGTGAGTTTTATAGGGTTTGTAGGATTTCTGGGATGGTCTGTCTTTACTAGAGCAGGTAGCCTCAGCTGTCTCCTGAGGAGTAGCCGGTGGGTTTGAACCGCTGGCCTTGCATTTAGCAGTCTAGCACTTTCCTGACAGTGCCACCTAGCCCATAAGCCTCTGCCTGGGCTGAGCCTGGGGGCTCTGCTGAGCTGATTGCCTGGCTGTGGCCGGGTTCAGCTGGGGAGGCCATGGAAAGGCACAGGGAGGATGAGGGTGGAGGGCCCGTAGCAGGCATGCCCTTCCTCCCTGGCCCCGGGGTGAAGGGAGTGGGCTGGGTGAAGGCATGAAGGAGGTGTAGACTCTCCTTGCTTGCAGTGGTGGGTGTGGGTGGGGCAGGGGCTGCTCTTAGGTGTGAGGCTCTGGGGGTGCCCACCCCTGGGCCCAGCAGCCTAGGAAGCTGCAGCTGGGGGATGGTCCTAGGCAGAGCCCCCACCTGGTATAGGGTCCTGTGGTCTGATGTCAAGTTGGCTCTTCCTTGCGGCGCAGGGTGTGGCGCTGAGCCAGTTTGGACGTGTCCCTGTCACTGTCTGGAGCTGCTGCTTCGCACGTGTTGCCTGTGGGGGTGGCGAGGTGCCTTGCAGAGGGTGCACGCTGGGATCTTAGACGTGGTGCGGCCAGGCCGGCGCTTGCACTCTGTGGGTGGCTGGCACAGCCCAGCCCTCCCCATCTGGTCCATGGTCTCCACTCCAGTCCCCATGGAGACCAAGGAGGGGAGGCTGAGCAGCTTCCCAGCGGGTCGGAGGAACTTCACCGCAGAGCCCCATGCTCCTGCCTGCAGCCCCAGGGAGCTCAGGTCCACCTGGGCATGCCAGTCCCACAGGGCGGGCTGTGAGCGCTCCTGCTGTGTCATCGCTCACACCTGTTTACAGATTCCAGGTGTCTCCAAGCCCTGCTACTCCTGTACCTTCAGACAAGCCAGAGCCCCAGGGGATGAGGGAGGAGATTTATTGCTGGGTGACCCTGGGCAGGCGATTGAACCTCTCTGTGGGGAGAAAGATGGCATTTTCTACACCCGTCAAGAGTTATGGTCTCCGCGACCCACAGAGGGCAGTTCGACCCAGTCCTAGAGGCTCCCTGGGAATTGGCATCAACTCAGTGGCGGTGAGTTTGGTTTTGGTTTTTTGGTACCTTGGTGGATGGAACGGCAGCACTGGCCTCACTGAGTGGCCGTGCGGTTGACGCCTGGCATGGTGCTGGCTGTCACCTGCAGCATCCATGTAGGGCCTTGGGGAATGTTCTGGCCCCCCCAGGTCCTGCACAAGCATCGGGGCTGCAGGGCAGATCAGACATGGGAGCCTAGAGGCTAGCTGAGGGGAGCACAAAGCTGGGGGCTCGGTCCCCAGCCCTGGCCGGATGTCTCGCTGTGTGACAGCCACCGTGAAGGCTAACCGGTGCTGTGTTCCGAGGGCTGACTGGCCTGGAGAGAGCCGTCTGCCACGAGGACACGGGGGCTCTGCAGCCCGAGGAGCAGGAGCTCTGCGGCTTGCTAACTGTGCTCCTGGACCCATGGCTTCCCGATCCGAGTTTCCCCATTTGTTGAGTGAGGGTTGGCAGGTTCCACGTCCGCAGGGCCGGGCTTACGTGCAGTGTCCGGTAGGTGGGCCCAGCACAGTGTCGGCACCTCCTCGTGTGGCCCTCGAATGGACCCCGATGCAGACATCCATGTGTGTCAGAAGCGGGCAGTGCTCCGTAGGGTTTTCATTGGCTGGTTTTCCAGGGCACTGCCAGGCCTTTCCTCCGAGGGGTCTCTGGGTAGATTCAAACTTCCGGTCTTGCCATTAGCAGGCCGGCAGAGTCAGCTGTGTGCCCCACCCAGGGTCTCGGGCTGTGACTTGTCATTAAGCTCCACCCGTTTGGTTCCAACTTAGTGACCCTGTGTGCAACAGAACGCCGCCCGGCCCCGCGCCATCGCTGCCAGGTCTGAGCCATGGTTTTAGCCACTGTGTCAACTCATCCTTTCTTGTGGAGGGCCTTCCTCGTTGCCGCTGCCCCTCTACTTTACCAAGCACGATGCCCTGCTCCAGGGACCGGTGGCTCCTGATGTCACGTCCAAAGTATGTGAGACAGAGCCTTGCCAGCCTCGCTCTGCTGTGCATCTCCCAAGCCAGCTGTGCGTGCTCCGACAGCCGGTGGTTTGTTTCTCGCTCTCTGCCAACACTGCTGCTCAGAGGCGTCGATGCGGCGCCAGTCTTCCTTAAGCTCTGCCCAACTTCTTCATGCACCTCGGGCGATGGCAACGCCATGGGTCGGGCCTGGGGCACCTTCGTCCTCAAAGTGGTTCTTAACCTGCGGCCAATAACTGGGATCTCGTCAGGTGGCAGCCGAGGGCGGTGTTCAGGGCTCAGCCCAGTGAGCCTGCAGTTTTTTGATTGATGGACTGGCTGGCGTCCCCCGGTCTCTGCCCACACAGCTGAGGGGACTCGGGGGCTGAGTAGTGCCTCTCTTCCCTCTTGCTGGACCCTATGGGGTGTGCCTGGAGCTGGAGGTACGTTTCAGCTCAGGCGTGAGGGAAGAATGGGGAAGTGGGGGGCAGTTGGGGATGACCCGGGCCTGTTTATCTGTGCCAGGGGTCCTGGAGGAAGCCGAGTTCTACAATATCGGCCCCCTGATCCGTATCATCAAAGACCGGATGGAGGAGAAGGACTACACCGTCACTCAGGTCAGGACGGGGAGAGGGAGAGGGGCCAGGGAGGGCGAAGCTGGCCTCATAGTGGGGGCACGGGCTGTTGCCCCCAGACCGGGAGGCAGATCCCCATTCTCTCCCTGCACCAACACCACTCATTGCGTGGCCTTGGGCCAGTCGGGGTCCTCTGGGCCTTGGTTTCCCCCGCTGCATTGTCCACATTCCCTTCCAGAATAGGGTTCATGTGGAGGCATGGGGGTGGGTGGGGCTGCCCATTTTGTGGGGTCAGATAGTGACCACCCTGCAGGAGGAGGTGGGACTTGAAGTCTCCGTGGAAGTTATGTGTTGGGCTGCGATCCACAAGGTCAGCAGTTAGAAGCCACCAGCTGCCCCGTGGGAGAAAGACAGGCCTTTCCACTCCGAGCTAAGAGTTACAGTCTTGGAAGCCCACGGGGCAGTTCGCCCCTGTCCTACAGGGTTGCTGTGAGTCGGCATTGGCTCGACGGCAGTGCGTCTTTTGGGTCTTTCTGCCCTGGGGAGATGGAGGAGGTAGATGGTGAGTCCCCACCATCTAGAGCTTGGGCATTGGACGGTGTGCATGTGTCCTGGGGAGGGCCTGACCCTGAGTGGCCCTCAGAGCCCCTCACCTGTCACCTGGCTTCCAGTTCTGGTTCTTCCCAGGGGGCTGAGTGACCTTGGGCGAGCATATGACCCTTGCTGCTCTGAGCCCCAGTGGAAACCACTAGGCTTCTGGGGATGGGATGAGGCATGCCGGGGGCTGGCCCTGGCACCCGCACCTTCTCGGCAGCTGTGACTCAGGCCCTCTCCTAGCAGCCGCATGCGGCTGGGTGGGGGGAGGCAGGAAAAGGAGCCCCTGTCACCGAGGGGCCCTCCACATGCTGCTCTGCCCACAGGTGCCACCCAAGCACGTGTACCGTGTGCTGCAGTGCCAGGAGGAGGAGCTGACGCAGATGGTTTCCACCATGTCTGATGGCTGGCGCTTTGAGCAGGTGGGCTGGGCCACACGGCCACCAGGGCCCCTCTAGCACTGCCCAACCCTTGACCAAGCCCCCCCCCCCCCCCTGAAGCTCCCTAACCCCTCAGGGGTCTTCTCAAGGCACACTAGACAGGGTCGTCCAGGGTGCCAGGCAGTGATCTGCAGCCAGGGTAGGGGCGGGGCGGGGGTAGGGAGGTGGGGTGGGGTCCGACCCCTCACTGGCAGCTCAAGTAAGCTGAGTCCAAGCCCACGTGTGGCTGTGCCAGGGGCGTTCAGAGTAAGGGCTTCCTGCAGTTCCTCAGCAGGAACAGGTGAGGTACCTGCAGTGTCACCTGGTGATGGGGCTGTCGCCCCTGTTGGATTTCCTGAGCAGAAGAGCCCGAGAGGTAGCCCAGGCAGGGCTGGTCCTGGGTGGGAGAGATCATGCCCTCCACAGTCCCCGCTTGCGTGGAGGTGGAAGCATTGTGGCTAGGGGGTCTGGGATCCACTTTCTTATCCAGGCCTCACCCTGGCCAATCTTTCTGGGCTTCAGCGCCCTGGCCAGTGAGGTGGGCTTCTAGGACCCCTTTTATAGGACCCCTTGGAAGAGCACGAGGGTCGCTGATAAAATTGCCCACGCAGGGTGTCGTGAGTTAGTGCTGTGCACAGTATTAGAAGTTAGTTCCTCAGGGCCCCAGAGAGGACATGGGTCTGAGTTCTAACCCCTACCCCAGCTCTTCCTGGCAGTGTGGCCACCTCTCCAAGCTGCCCGTCCCCCTCCCTGGCTGCCCCACAGGGACGTGTGTGGGGTGAGGTCATGTGTGGGCATGGACTTTACCAGCCAGGGAAGGGCTCCTTGGTGCAGTTCTTCTAGGGTTCAGCACGGATGAGCAGTGGCAGAGCCCACTCAAGAGCCTCGGGGAGCAGGTCAGAAGTCACAGGCTGTTTTCTCTGTGGTCCAGTGTCTCCCAAAGTTGGCGCTCACTGCCCTTGGGGGCTGCTGGAACCATGCAGAGAGCGACAAAAGTGGATGCAGACACTATCCTGGCTTGTGAGCCAGTTTTGTTTTTTTTTGTTTCTGTTTTTGTTTTCCCCTGAAAAGGGGAGGGTAGGCCAAATAAGTTTGAGAACCTATTGTCTAGTGTAAGGAATGGGGAGACATCCACTCACCTCCTTGTCTGACCTCACGAGGTGGGGAGGAGGGTCACCATCAGCATCAACAGCTGAGCTGGCTGCTGTGAGGCGGAGGTCAGACATACCTGTCCCCTCCACCCCTTTGTCCCATTCTCTCGCCTGCTGTCCCTCCCCAGGCACTCTACTTTGCTGGGCCCTCCACATCTGTCCCAGGGGTCACACTGTGCTCACAGTTTACGAAGGAAGCAGCAGCCTGAGGAACAACTCAAGAGACAGTTCTTTCTCAACTGTGTCTGCCTCGAAGCCCCTCGGCTCAGCCTCTGCCATGATTGGGCAAATGTTAACAAAACCCTTTAGCTCAGCCATTAAGGGCCGGAAGTGCCCCCACTGTACCAGGAAGTCCCAGCCTGAAGGCTCCTCTGCTCTTTCCCCGTGAGTCAGCACACCCACTGTCAGCACCCACTGCAACAGCTTGTGCTGGTCTCCCGGTTCTGCTGCCACCATCACCTTTCACTGCCCTGCACTGTCCCTGGGCTCCAGGTCTTGGGCCTAGGAGGTTCTCGGCACAGGGACCCGGGGCCCAACAGAGGGTGCACTGTATTCCTGTCTCCTCTCCCTGGGGGAGTCAGGTCCCCTCTTCTTGGGCCTTGGGACTGGTTGGTAAACCTGAAACCTCCTCATTAGGGTTCCATACATGGCATTTGCATGGCCCTACCTCCACAAGGGTGCCAAGTACCTTATGTGCATTGCTAGGAAGCTGTCCCATCCTCTTGGTGGGCCTCAAACACCTTATTTGTATAGTCATCTGGTGGGAGTTAGGAGACTGCCTAGAAAAGCCAGGTAAAACGCCATTTACAAAAACTGCAAACAGATAAGTTCTTCTCCCCCTGCTCCCAATAGGGAGGGGCATTTTCTGTGGCACTGCCACACCTGGGACAGGGAAGCACGTGCCCCTTACAGGCCTCCACCTGCTTTTAAAAGGTGCCCTTCTGGGCCTGGGGTTAGACCAGAGCAGGGAGGGGGCCCAGGAACACAACCAGAGACCTAGGAGTGGAGGGGAGGACCGCCTTTTGCCTAGGGGTGGGGCTGAGCAGAGCAGCGAGCTCAGGACATCACTCTGGGGGGGCCCCTCCCCTCAGCTGGTGACCATCGGCTCCTCCTACAACTACGGCAGTGAGGACCAGGCCGAGTTCCTGTGCGTGGTGTCCAAGGAGCTCTACAGCGCCCCCAACGGGCTGAGCTCCGAGTCCAGCCGCAAATCCAAGGTGAGCCCCACCGGCCCCACCCCTCCTTCCTTACCCCTC